TTTCATTTTAATTGACGTATAAATTTTTAATAATAAAGAATCTAAGGAAATCTAGATGGGGTATCAGGATGACATGAATTGAAAATTTAGATTATCGAAGTGTTAAGCAAAAAATTTTAGTATAAAAGTGAAAAAATAGGTAGATTTTAGGACACTCTAATTTTGGTAGCGTACATCCATCCTAGGTACGTGTCATACTTAATCTCTCTTGAACTTTCTTACCTAGGAAAGTTAATAACTTTTTTGTTTTCCTGTCTTGATATATTCATACTAATGTTAGATCTTATAAAAAACTTGAGATCTAAACCATAAAGCCATGATTAATTCAAAGAAATTTACAAGAATCAAAAGAAAAGAGCGGAAGCTTATACCTGAATCCATAGATTAAACTTGAGATGGGTTTTGGATCTTCTAACCTTAGGGTTTCTCTAACCAAATTTCTCTCTAGATGGGGGCGAAGAGAATTAGAGAATGTAACCCTAGATTAGGGACCATAACCCCTTATTTATAGATATTGTACATTTGTAATTTGGCCCCTCATCAAATCATAATTACAACCTGGTATCAGCACATATAACCTCATGATTATATTTAAATACTCATTAACCCAAATTGATTGATCACTTTAGTGAGTTGTCCTGAAGGATAGCAATACACATAGATTAATCATATGTGCCCACAAATAGATTTAATTAGATTTAAATCCAACAATCTCCCACTTGGGCACCATATGATTCCTTAAATTGTGTATAACCTTATAAGCTCAAAATTGCTATTACTAAAAAGGTATTTCCGAACAATCTCGTCCATTGACTATATCAATATAGGATCAAAGCGGCCTTCGTTACATTTATCGTGACTTGACCCATCAATGGTCACATATACCAATACAATCAAATGACATAGATCAATCATGAATATGCAGCATAAAAATTACATGCAATGTGGTCAGTACATGTCTATTTTCAACTGGTCCTACTTTAGTGAGGTTAAAACCAAACATAATGTAACAGAGTGTCTTAACTGAATACTTTATTCTGATCAGACAATATAACCAAACACAAACACCATAATTACAAACTCCCACTAAATCATGATATCCTCAAATAACACCACACCCATATGAGCAGTGTGCTCATGAAAGACATTGGGTGACAATCCCTTAGTAAGAGGATCAGCTTCTTTTTTTTGATGTAGTACTCGCTGCATGTAACAAGCTAATTTTTCTAATTTTCCAAAATGCAAACGCAGCTTTTATTAAGAAAGAGTATGAAACAGATGGTCAGAAGCTTTTTTTTAACCAAGTTAAAAAAAAATTTACAAGCTTATTCCGAAATTGTAACTCTTTCTTAGGCTGTTTCATTTTAATTGACGTACAAATTTTTAATAATAAAGAATCTAAGGAAATCTAGATGGGGGTATCAGGATGACATGAATTGAAAATTTAGATTATCGAAGTGTTAAGCAAAAAAATTTAGTATAAAAGTGAAAAAATAGGTAGATTTTGGGACACCAAAGAGAAAGTAAGCCATACTTTAACCTTACACTCTAATTTTTGTAACATACATCCATCCTAGGTACGTGTCATACTTAATCTCTCTTGAACTTTCTTACCCTAGGAAAGTTATAACTTAATTTTTTGTTTTCCTGTGTTGATATATTCATACTAATTCTTTGTTGCCCCTAAATTCTTCAAGTTAATCATTGCTCAGTTAAGTCTCGGAACACTATATTTCATGTTTATATTTGGTTAGCAAATAATATATCATCATACTCCATTCTAACGCATCATTAATCAGTAAACCTGCAGAAGATAGCGTTAACCTGGACCTACCCAGGGAGGCTTAGCTATGTCACTAAAAACAAATAAATAATTATATATCACATTCCAGCAACACTTGCAACCACATATTTGCTCTAACGCAACGGTTCAAAACCGTTGCGCTAGCCATGGAACCGTCGCTCTTGAGCAAGTGCGACGGTTCTCAAACCGTCTCATATGCTGCTGTTGCTCTACCTCTACCGTAACGGTTTTGAATTCTATTACGACGGTTTTTTGAACCGTTGCCCCTGCATCTAACGCAACGGTTTTAAAAGGCAAGCGGTTTTTAAGCTATTGTAACGGTTTTGATTTAGCTATTGCGACGGTTTTTAGGCTACTGTAGCATTTTTTTTTATAGTTATTACAACAGTTTTAAAAGACCTAACACAACGGTTTTAAAAGGCAAGTGTGTTTTAAGCCATTGCAACGGTTTTGATTGAGCTATTGCGACGGTTTTTAAGCTAGTGTAGCTGTTTTTTATAGCTATTACAATAGTTTTAAAAGACCTAACGCAACGATTTGGATTGACCTATCGCAACAGTTTTGATCGAGCTATTGCAGCGTTTTTGATTGAGCTATTGCAACGGCTCCGATTGAGTTGTTCTTGGTTCCCTGCGTCAAAATCATATAGTATTCAATTACCTGGACAATCTTTTTAAGAACATGGTCAAGTCAAATTTTAATACACAATATCAAAGTGAAAATGTTGAGCATAATCAACCATAATGATAAGTGTCAATATACATCGGTATAGTATGAAAACTACAAAGTATTAAATCCATACTACCAACATTTCAACTCAGAAAATATCGTACCGAACTAATATTCAAACAACATCAACATTTGATTACAAAACATGAAACTTCTTGGTCAAAGACTTTATATTCTCTATTTGTTTCCAAAAACTTATGCCTCAATATCAAATACTCACTAGGAACCTGTCAATATCAATCTCAATCTTGGTTTTCGTCATTTCTGTACCTGTGTAAATTTCCATGAATCAGCATAATTTTTGCAATGATGATAATAAAATTGGGGAAAAAGGCATTGCAATTATTCAAAATAAATAGCTTAACATAAAGGAATCCTCAGAGGACGAATAAATTACTAACAAGTTGGCTGATTGTCAAAGAAAGCTCAAGTAACATTGGTAAATAAGGAGACCATACGCAGCTACATGAAATCAGAGATCTTCAAACACATACACGGCTACATGAATCAGAGAGAAACATCATGCAATTTTGGGAAGTAATTGATTTATTAATATAAGTGTAAACTTACATAACAAAATCAGAGAATTTCATCCTAAAACTATACATCCTGAAACCATAAACAAAGAATTGCATACAGGATATCTATTTCACAATTTCTTTAAATATAACTCTTTTCTTCGTATCCCTAAAAAAACTTTCATCTAAAAAAGATAACTTTCTCAATGTTTTCTTGAACAGAAAAACAAGATATCAGGAAACGTCAACAAATTGAGTAAATCTTTCTGACCCTTGTTAAGATTTTTTTACCCCTTTGACCAAATTAAACCATTTGGAGGGTTAAGGAGGGACTAAACTCCCTTAACCCTTCTATTAAACCCTTGACAACTGAGGCCTAAAAGAACCATCCTCCCATAATCAAATGATTAAGATTTAGAGATAAACCTCAGTTTGGTATTCTTTGTCTTGCACCTCTTGCAAAGCCAAGTTTTCTTTAGTTTATCAGCAATATGGAAGATCAGACAATTTCATAGCCACAGAGATATGGAAATAGCTCTCTATTAACTTAGGTATTCAAAATTTGCTGGTTGATACTTCATGTAATTTGGCAAAAAAGTAACTAAATTGCAGAGGCAGCCCATAATCCAACTTCCTCAAACACCTAAATGATTGAAAACAATCAAATACATCGAACATTTTCATGTAATAGGTGGAAT